GGACACCCAGGTTGCCTTTACTTTTGGGCCACTGTAAACAATATTGTACTGAACATATGGATGCACACATCCCCTTGAAGTAGTGTTTAGGTTTCTTCAGATAATTACCCAGAAGTGGGATTACTAGGTCCTTCTTTGTCTCTTATTATAGCCTTTATTTTAAAGTCTATTTTGTCTGGTATAAGCATTGCTACCACAGCTTGCTTGATTGCTTGCTTACTTTCTTTATTTTTTTTTTAAAGATTGTATTTGGAAATTGGAGAAGGGGAACATTGTTGGGGAATTGGGGAAGGGGAACAGCCAAGTTATTGTCCTTCAGTTTTAGTTGTGGAGGGCGCAGCTAGCTCAGCTCTAAGTCCAGTCACCATTCAGCCACCGTGGGCAGCTCATGGTGCCATGTTTAATCTTAGTTGTGGGTGGGCGTAGTCCTCCATCTCATGCGGGAGTCTAACTGAAACCTTGCTGTTAGAAGCACGTGCTCTCACCAGCTGAGCCATCCTGCCATCTGTTGTCAGCTCAGCAGCAGCTCAGTTCAGGCACAGTGTCACTGGCCCATGTAAGAACTGAACCCGCGACCCTATTGCTCAGAGCTCGCGCACTTAAATATTTTTTTCCCATCACTTTCCTTTCAGTCTGTGTGTGTCTTTTGACTGGAAGTGAGTCTCTTGTAGGCAGCATATGTGAAGGTCTTGTTTTCTTATCCATGCAGTCACCTATCTTTTGAGTGGAGCACTTAATCCATTTACATTAAAGTAATTGTCAATAGATATGTAGTTATTGCCATTTATTATTTATAGTTTTTATCTTCCTCCCCCCCCATCTTAAAGAAGTTCCTCTGACATTCCTTGTAATACTGGTTTGATGGTCAGGAATTCCATTAGATTTTTCTGGGTACAGTAATCTTGGTTTTAGGTACTTGTTTTTCATCACATTGAATATTTACTGCCAATCTCTTCTGGCTTGCAAAGTTTCTGTTGACAAATCAGCTGACAGTCTTATTGGCGCTCCCTTGTAGGAAACTAACTGCTTTTCTCTTGCTGTTTTTAAGATTCTTTGTTTGTCTTTAACCTTTGGCATTTTAATTATGATGTGTGGGTCTGTTTGGGTTCATCTTGTTAGGGACACTGTGCTACCTGGTCTTGTATGTCTATTTCCTTCACCGTGTTAGGGAAGCTTTCAGTCATTATTTCTTCAAATAGGTTTTCAATTCCTTGCTCTCTCGTCTCCTTCTTGTGCCCCTATAGTACAAATGTTGGCATGCTTGATATTGTCCTAGAGGCCTCTTAAACTCTCCCCATTTTTTTGGATTCTTTTTTTTTTTTGCTGTTGTGATTGGGTGTTTTTTGCTACTTCACCTTCCAAATTGCTGATTCAATCCTCTGCCTCATCTTATCTACTGTTGATTCCCTCTAATATAGTCTTCAATTCATTTATTGTATTCTTTATTTCTGACTGGTTCTTTTTTATGTTTTCTGTCTCCAATTTTTGTGTTTCCTATCTGTTTGTTGAAGTTTTCCCTGAGATCATTGAGCATTCTTATAATCAGTCTTTGGAACTCTGCATCTGGTAGATTGCTTGTCTCCATTTTGTTGAGTTCTTTTTATGGAGCTTTGTTCTGTTCTTTTATTTGGGGCATGTTTCTTTTTTTCCCCATTTTGGCTGCCCCTCTGTGTATGTTTTTATGTATTAGTTAGGGCTGTTATGTTTCCTGGTCTTAGCAGAGTGGCCTTAGGTAGTAGGTGTTCTGTGGGGCCCAGTGGCACAGTCTCCCCCGTCACCAGAGCCGGGTGCTCCAGGTGTGTCCCTTGTGTGGATTGTGAGCCTGGGTTGCCGTTTGCATGTTAATAGGAGGGTTGACCCCCAGGCTGATTGGTTGTAAGAACTGGCTATGACTACAGTGGAGGAACTGTTGTGCAGGTGCTGATCTTACAGAGCAGGATTTGCTTTAGTGGGGCTCTGGTGCCTGCTTAATCTACCTTGTAAGTGTGTCATCCTTGGAAGTGGCTGGGTAATATCGAAGCTGGCCACTGGACCTTCCAGCCCTGGGACCCCCTTGGGACCCACTGCAGGCCAAGTTCAGCGGCAATCTGCGCCCCACCCAGGACCACCTGGCATTAGCCACTAGCAATCCGCTGCCCCCACACTGTGGTTGGCAGTACCTTGAGAGGCTGAACCGTGAACCAAGGCTGGCTGTCACTAATGCTGGGCTTAGGGCTGCTCAACCAGATGATTGCAACACGTTGAAGCCAGATGCTGCTTGTTTGGGTTTTGTGAACCTTTGAGAGATTTTAGGAAAGGCCATAGCATGAGCTAAGACAGGTTGTGTGTACAGAAAAGCCATTACAAGTGGCTTGGGTGTGCCCGAAAATTAGGTGGGCCGCGTTCTGAGGAATAACTGGGGCAGGGCTGAGGAAAGATGATGGCCAGTTTGATGGAGACACAGATTTGGCATCTGCCTGCATTTGCATGCAGGAATGGGGAAGGAAAGAAACAATGGTTTCTGCCAGCTCCTCTGTCTGGGAGAAAACTGGCCCAGTGCTGGAGCTCAGAGAGAGTGAGTCCATCGGCAAGTAAGTCCATGTGCAGTCCCTTTGAGAGTAGTGCCTGGGAATGCAGCCGCCCTCAGTCTCACTCAGCCACAATCTTTCCTGGTTTTCACAGCCAGAAGTTATGGGGACTTCTCTCCCCATCACTGGAGCCCTGGACTAGGGAGTCTGGCATGGGGTTTCCTTTGGTGGGACCTCTGCAGCTGAGATATCCCTCCTGAATTTTAATGGTCACACACGGGTGTAGAACCAGGCTGTTCCGGATCTCTGCCCCTCCTACCAGTGTTGAGGTGGCTTCTTTTGTACGTCTGTAGCTGTAGGGCTTTGGTTCAGCTAGACTTTAGGTGATTCTCAATAATGGTTGTTCTATGGTTTAGTTATCATTGATGTGATCTTAAGAGGAGGTGAGCACCACGTTTACCTATTCTACCATCTTGACTGAAAAATCTAGCACTGCTATTTATTTATTTTTTTTTTAAGATTTTTACTGGGGAATTGGGGGAAGGGGAACAGACAAGTTGCTGTCCTTTTGTTCTTCAGTCTAGTTGTGGAGGATGCCGCCTCACCGGCCCAAGTTGGCACCATCATTGCGCTCTTCCTGGGCGAGGCAGATAAGTCGCCGGCTTCTGGGCGGCCACTCGCTGCGGCTGCTGGCCGCTCACGATGGCTGCTGGCTACACACGGTAGCCCATGGCAATCCACTGCCACAGTAGCTGCAGCCTACGTCATCGCCGGTGACCCATGGCAGCCCAGCTCCAGGTTGAGCTGTTGTTCAGTATCTTAGCTGTAGAGGGCAGCGTCACTGGCCCTCATATGTGGGATCCGAACCGGGGCCCTCTGGCGTCCCAAGCCAGTTCTTAACCATTGGGCCACTCGGCCGGCCCTAAAATATTTTTTAAAAAGATAATTATCTGAGTGAGAAATAAGACTGGCCTACCTTGTTATTCTAAAGAGTGATTTATAAATGATTTTGGAATGAAAAATCATTTTTCTTCTGAGTTATTTCTTTTTTGTATGTATAATTGTCTAACTTTCTATATCTCTACTTATATTTCTAGATGATGTTGTATGAATAAATATGCAAGTTCTAATTCTATGCTTTGAATTAACCACTTCTCAAATAAACTACAGATGCCCTTATGGAGAATGCCATTTAGTGAATTATAATGCATTTCATGATTGCGTAGGGCTTGTGTTCCCTTCATAATATAAACAAGTTAATTAATAGTTGTATTAGGTAATGATTTTTCTGTCATAAGAGCTCCTTTTTCTAACCTCACAATAGTTTAATTAACACTTAAATTTTATGTAGTATACTTTTATTAAGAGTAAAGGGGCATGTTTTAAAATATAGTGAGGTTAATATGGAGCGATAAAACTAACAACCATGTTTTAGCTGTTTTTTCATTCAATAAGGATTATCTTTATCTTTCTTTTTCATTCTGTATCACAGACATATTATATACAAAGTACCATAATTTTATGGGGGATGCAATATGTTTTATTCTCTTAGCCATCTTATATCTAGCCAGGAAGTTAACCGACAAAGTTGATTGTGTATAAATGAGTAATACATGGCAAATTCTAAGTAGTAGACATTTTTCTAAGTGCCTTGGATAACCATGTGAGTTGATGGATACTCACAACAACCTATGAGGCAGTTGTCATTAATATACTAATTTTACAGATGAGAAAATTGAGGCACAGAGATAATTGATTTGCCCAAAATCACATAATAGTATGTGATTAATATGGGTTTCAGAGCCAAGCAGTGTGGCTGCAGAGCCTGTCTAGCTAATCTCTAAGCTATACTTCTATATTACACATGAAAGGAGGACCCTTTCCATCAGAAGTGATGATTGCAAGAGAAGTTTCCAGATAGCAAGAGAGATTAGAACAATGTTTTGAAGAGTGAAAAACTTTGCATTGATAGAGATTGTAAGTGTGTGGTAGAAAAGGAAAAGGGAGGTAGCCATAAAGAAAGGAGTTACGAGAATATAGAAATAAAGTTAGGAAACCACAGCATATATTCAACAGATCATAAACAAGGCAGTTATACTGGATAGGAGTTTTTATTTAGAATTGTGAGAAGATGAATATGTTTACAACACTTTACTAGGTATTATTATTTTACAGATTATATCATTATCTCCATTAAAATAATATTATTCTTCGGCTCATTTTCTACATAAATTGATTTTGACAATTGTGTATTTTTTTTATATCTTAAATATCAATCTGTTATTATCTTCGTGTTACTTTCTTCTCACCGCCCCTACCATTACACTGAGATATGACCATGTCAGGAATTTACTTGCTATTCAAAGAGGACTTTTTTTTTTTTAATGAATGTATATAATTTGGATACTAATAAAAATTTGCAGATAAACATTTTCTAAATTAGAATGCAAAATAAAAAACCAGCAGTTCATCTATCTACTGTTTTCTTTTCAGGTAAGCCAGTGATGATAGTGACAGAGTATATGGAAAATGGCTCTTTAGATACATTTTTAAAGGTAAGATTTGAGACCAGTTTAATTATTCAAAGAGTTATTTGTATGTTGGTCATGATATTGAACTTGAAATTGAGCCACTTCAAAGCTAAAGTTCTAAATAGATAGAAATACCGGCAGTTTGAATAATTACACTACAAGAAATTAACTTTGGTTTGAAAATTGTTCTCTTCAGAAAACTTCAAATTATGTATTCACAGATTTATTTACGTGTATGTTAATATGCTTGAAAAAAATAAAGAGGGAAGGAAGGAGGAAAGAAGGAAAGGAGAAAAGGAAGACTGAAAGAAAGGAAAGGAAAAAAAGAAACGTTTACTAATACTTAGTTTTCTCAAAGTATATAATATCAGGCAGAACAAGGAAAAAAGTTGAAAAGGTCTCTGGAAATTATCAACATTAAGGGGTCAAATAGGCTTATAACCCATCTGAGGGCCACTGCTTGTGCCAGTTGAGTCACCGTATGGTAATAGACAATGCTAATCCTGTATTGTCAGATCTTCTCGGTTTCAGAAAAAGCTTTTTTTTTTTTTATGTGTAAGTCTCCAAATTTTAAACATTGACAGCTCATTTTATTAATGAACATTAAGTTTGTGCTAGACAATGTAACATATTTGCAGACCTGTTTAACCTATAGGCGACAGTTTTTCACCTTCAGTATAGCGATTATTGTTATTGATTAGGGAAGGTGATGGGAAATGGCATTTTGATCATAAGAGGGGCCTGTGCATTGATGCATTGACTATGACAGGGGTCCACTGACAAGGCGAACTTCCCCTCTAATCTCCCGCCTCTACCAGATTCTGGTGCCAAATGTCTTATACATATCTTCCAGTTCTCCAGTCTCTTAAGGTCACATCATTCCTTTATTTCAAAATAAACATCAGGTGAGCCTTTTTCTGTATGTCTGCAGTAAGTTCAGTGCCCTTGACAAAGACAGCAAGCTCCCAAGGAATGATAGCGTTGTCCTGGTCATTTCCCTCCCATCTGCTACTGCAGCATCTCCCTTTATCTCCTCCAGCCATTTCTTCTTTACGCCAATATGTCTATCTCTCTAGCCTCTTTTTTTTTTTTCCCAGATTCAGGTGTACAAAACAAAGTGACAACCCCCCTCCCCCAATCCATCATCCCTCCCTACCCTTATATCATACATATCTATTACAAGCCTCTTAAAGCTCCTCGAAAATGCAGTTTTAACCCTAGGCAAGCAGCAGGTTCCAGTGATGCACACGCTCCTCTGATGACTGAGAATAAATGACTTACAATGCAGAGGACAATTAAATGAGATTTTTGACAAGGGCTTTCAAAGCGTTTATCTGCTTTGACCCAGGAGAACACTGATAAACATTACCAGGTTAACTATGTGGTTCCCAACTTTTTCTGTTTTGATAGAAATTGCACATGCATTTGGTGATGGTATTCATTTGGGCTTTGAAGGAAGATCCTTTTACATTTTCCCCCAGTGACTGGCATTGCTGAACTGATATCTCTACATTGTCTTTGCAGAAAAATGATGGGCAGTTCACTGTGATTCAGCTCGTTGGCATGCTGAGAGGCATTGCTGCGGGAATGAAGTACCTTTCAGACATGGGCTATGTGCACAGAGACCTCGCTGCCAGAAACATCTTAGTCAACAGCAACCTGGTGTGCAAGGTGTCTGACTTTGGGCTTTCCAGGGTTCTGGAAGACGATCCTGAGGCAGCCTACACCACAAGGGTAAGATCTAACAGAATGCATTTCTGAAACTGCACTAGTCACATTCCATTTTTAAAGACTTGCAAGGAAATAGCAAAAAAAGGACATTTCTCCAACATACAAAAAGAAAGAGCAAGAGAGGTGGTGGGGGATAAAAGAAATCCAGTTGATGGTCCTTGTTAGAAATCAGAAAATTTGAATATTAAACTCAGATAAGCAAAATATTCACCTTGTGAGTCTCAATAATTTATTTTTTCCAATAGATCCTGAAAGTAAAAGTGTTTAAGTTTGGAGAGAATACAACAAAGCAAAAATCATATGAAATTTTAAATGGAAAAGAAAAAGTTAAGGACTCTCCTACATTAAAGCTATATAAAGCTACACACACACACACACACACACACACACACACACACACACACACACACACAAACACAATACATGAATATATAAATATGTATAGCATTAGTGGATAGCTTGCACTCTCTGCACTATATAGTACATTCATTTGTAAAATACAAAAATATCTAAACCTACCTTTTAAGGAATCAGATGATAGGGGATAAAAGAGCTGTTCCTTCAAAAAGTTTTGATTTACTGAAGGTATGTCAATGCCTAATTACCTTTCTCACATACTATATAAACTGTTAAGCCCATATCTTTGAAAAATCGGTCACCAAGTCATATTGTCCTAATTAGCATACATCAGCACTCTTTGCCAGCAGTGTAATTGCTTCCTGTTATAAAACTGACAGTTCTTTCTGTGAAAAACTGAGTATTGGTTAAACAGAATTTTATGGGTGGCCTATGTATTGCATTTCTTGTTTAAATCCCTTATGATAAACTACATTTGATTAATTCTAAATCTTTACAATGTCATCAAGTTAGATGTCCTCAATGTTTAATAGTAATTTATCATTGTATATTTTCAACTGTACAATTTGGTTAACTTATTTCAATACAAAAGAACAGCTTTGTTGTCCCTTATTTTTATGATAGCGGTGTTACACATTTTTTTATTTAATTCAGCTTTATAGAATTACTCCTACTCATAATCTAACAACAAACTCTATTCATAGATTATAAAATTTGTATATGTTGCTTTTTTCATTGTTGCTTTATGACTCAGAGATATTTAGGGATTGTTTTATGCTGAAGATCAAGAGTAACTTATCTAGGCAAACAGTCTTCTAATGGTGAGCTTAATGAATTAATAAATTAATTCATGGGATATCAATTCCTCTTTTTCTAGACTTAATTTTCTTTGTCATTATTTGCATTAAATGAAACCTCATTTAAGAATTCTCCCGGGATTAGAGTTACACTTAACAACCTTGGCCTAAGCAAGATTAAGTTTGTAGGAAAATTCATTCCCAGAATGATTGGTTGATGTTTAGTTAAATGCATAAAGTGAATAATCAACGTCTGTGTCAAGGTATCATGCTGGGAAAGAGGGAGACGGATGGGGAAGCAAGGATCCTGAGACCCTCAAGACGTATTCCTGTGAAATGGGGCATGGTGGCAATTTGTGGAAAATGTATATACTGAGAGATAAGAAGATAGAGAACTTCAGATAGTACTGATGACCAATATGATGCTCAAAGGATTGGGAGAAACATTCTAGGTTGCAGTATAAATGAATCAACAAGCTATAATTTTAATAATATAGAATATCACAGCATATAGCCAGACCTAAGTGTGTGATATTACCTATGAATATTTTACTAACAAAAGTATGTTTCAGGAAAGTCTTCTTAAAGTGGCATTGCCATATTTCTAAGGAGCAAATAATACAAATTTGGTTTGAATAATTCAAATTAATTCAGAGAACAATTTTAAGCATTACATGAAACTCTTATTTCCTCATATGTCTTGAAACTTTGGTTCATAAAAAAGCAGTTTAGGTCCCATTTTTTATAGTATGTGAGTTAAATTATTCCCTTCTTACAAAATGGAAAGGCATGTGTTAGTCTTTTTAAGATAAAATATTCAAAAATCTATCATCTATCTATCTATCTATCTATCTATCTATCTATTCTATCTGCTCCTTTAATATATTTTTGCTTATAAATGTTTGGTTGCCTGGGGTTGCCGGCTTTTAAAAATTAAGACAAAAAAAATTCACCCTAAAAGGGGAAGGATAGACAAGTATTTATTTAGTGAACTGAGAGAGAACCTACCACACCAAATTTTTTACAATGTAAAAAATCCCAAACTTGATAATGTTGTAAGTTTTTCCCCATAATGTAATTTCAATAATTTTAAAGTGGTTGAATTAAGTGATAAACCTACCTCTTAGAGGAAAAAAAAAAGCAAAGACTAACTAAACAAACACAAAAATATTTCAGCAGCAAATAAAGAAAATAAGAGAAATCAAGTCTAAAAGAGATTGCATGATGTCAAGGAAAAGTATAACTATGCTTTTAACACATCTGCTTTTTGTGCTTGTCTTATTAACTGTTAAACATCTCAGTGTTGCATTTAGCACTGAGACATTCTACTTACAACTCCTATATTAAAGAGAAAAGCACCATGGGAATTTGAGTCTTTTATTCTCTGGTAGAAAGTCATGAAAGTATTTGTTATTGATTTGCTTAACTGTGTGTTTTCCCCCACTTAGAGCTGCCATCCTGACACTGTAATTGAGACATGGTCCTGTATGTGTTCCAGTAGTCAAACAGAATTTAAATCAGAAACCTGGACTGCCAGTTAGGAGTCAGCCTATGAGTGCTTATGAACTGATATGTGAAAAGAGACTGCATGCTGTCAAACAGATTCACTTAAAAATGCTACATCTCTTTCTAGATCTTTTCAGTGAGGCAGCAATATCCCTGGATACATTTGAAGTGTGTGAGAACTTTTTTATTCTTTTTCAATTTTAGGGAGGCAAAATTCCAATCAGATGGACTGCCCCAGAAGCTATAGCTTTCCGAAAGTTTACCTCTGCCAGTGATGTCTGGAGTTATGGAATCGTGATGTGGGAGGTTGTGTCTTACGGAGAGAGACCCTACTGGGAGATGACCAATCAAGATGTAAGTATGAAACTGTTCCCACTCAAGTTTGTTATGAAATGCTTTTGCTCTCTGTGTCAGGAGACATATATTTTTTCATTTCTGAACATGAGAGTTGCTTTATAAAATGAAATATTTTGCTTATCCTCTAATCTGTTTTGTTGTTGTTGGAATAGCCTTTATGCAGAAGCTTAAAATGAGTTAGAACAAGGGAAAGTAAGTTATTATTATATAAAAGCTCAGTCCCTTGCTAGACAGTTCCAGCTATACTGTAGTGATGTTCAACTCATTTTATGTCAGTATCATTTTCAAAGATAAAGAAAGAACCATCAAAGAATGATTACTGACAGGCAAGTTTTTATGATTTGCATTTGATAAAGGCAGCTAATATCCTAGACCCAAAGGATGGATGGTATTGATTTAATAGTGGATGCTCTTAGAGGATAAAAAGAAATAATCTGTGTTTTTATTTTTTTTTAATTTAAAAATGTAGGAAGAGCTGTACTGTCTATTTAATTTGGGGGGATAAAACAGATTTTTCCCCACATGGAAAAATAGTTCATTCTTAAAATAGTAGAATCCTAGAATTAAAGGAACCATGAAAGAATCTTCTATTCAAGTTCAGAACATTTCCTATAAGATATCATGCCTAACACATGGCTCTGGTCTGTGCTTTTGTAATTTTCCATTGTTACTATTCAATGCAACCCTTTCCATTCTGCATCCCAATTAAATTTGATATTTTCCATCAAATAACAAGAACAATGATAAAAGCAGCTAACATTTATTTAGCCCTTACTATTTGCCATACATTGTCTTAAGTGCTTTCCCAACTACTATCTCATTACTTCTTTATAAAACCAGTATATTGAAGTCTAAGCTGAAGAGTATGTTGGTTTAAAACATTTTTTTTCTGTAATGCTTTCTTTCATCCAGCTCTGTAAAATCTCTCTCTCCTCTGTCTTCAGGGGTTATCAGACAGGTACTGTATCTCTCCTATCTCATGTCCAACAGCAGTTCCATGACAGTAGTTAGGACTCACTCTCAGATATAAAAATGCAAGTCCAGTCAAAGCAGAGCCAGAGCCATATCCATTTCAAAGTGTTTTCCACAACTGCAGGGCCAGCCTGACCACTGGTACCTATATTGGGAAGAAAGAATGGTCAGATTTTTGTTCTTCCTCCTCTGCCAAAGGCTGTGTCTGGACTTCTCAAGATTTTCCTGGATAAAGAGGTGGAAAATAAGGGGCAAGACTGTTTTTATAATGTTTGACTATTGATGCCTCCTATGAGGTGGTTACCCAAACATGAATTCTCTAGTAGGGTTCATGTCTGAGCTTTCCCAGAAACCCTTGATGAGAGCCTCCTCCCTGCAAGGTCCCTAGAGAGAAGGATGTGTTCCACCTGACTTCTCCCAGTTCCTCTCACTTGCACCTGCTCCCCACCTCACAGTCTCTTACTGCAGTATACACGTGTCTGCGTCACCTGAGGGAAACACATTCTTCTTGGATGCCCTGCCAGCCTTTCCCCTTTTCAGCACTGCTGCAGGCTGCCCCAGAAAGGCTGCTTTCTTTAAATTTCCCTGGTGAGAAGCTAGGGTCACACTGCAGCATTCCCAAGGATTGCAGTTGACCCTTGACAATGAGGTGGTTCAGGGTACCAACCCCTACACAGTTGAAAATCCACATAGGAGTTTTGACTCCCCCAAACCTTAACTACTAATAGCTTACTGTGACTGGAAGCCTTACCAATAACATAAGCAGTCAGTTAACACATATTTTGTGTTATATGTATTATATACTGTATTCTTTTGATAAAACAAGCTACAGAAAAGAAAATGTTATTAAGAAAATCATAAGGAAGACAAAATACATTTGCAGTACTTACTGAAGAAATGTGCATGTAAAAGAACTTGTGCAGTTCAAACCCATGTCATTCAAGGGCTGATGGAGTCTTGCCTCTCTACAAGTATACAGCAAGACATCTAAAGTTGCTTCTTGTAGTCATCTAAAATTGCTACAATTGGTTTTCTTTGTGCTAAACTCACTTGGTTGAAGGGGAGGATGCTGACTTATATCTCTCTAAATTTGGGAGAACATAGTACCTGTTGTCTGCCCCTCTAAGATTTTAGGGGCAGGACTATGATAAAAATATCACTGAACTCTTGGTATACCAGAGGTGCCAAAAAATGTATACAAGTGGACACTTTGGTCAGTATTGCTCAAGCAGTAGTTCACCATAATCAGAAGTGTCTGGAAACTGACGGTAACCACTTTGAGCACCTCTTGTAATTGCAGAAGTCAAACATGACTTGTATTCATCTTTTGTTATAGGTATATATTGAATATTATAATATATACCTATACAGTTTAATACAGTTTTTTTCCTTTCTTAAAATGTATGTACTTTTTTTGGCACCCTCTGTAGATTTAACAAACCACCAGAGAGATATTATTATTCCTGTTTTGCAGATAAGAAACTAAACCTTGGAAAAATTAAATGACTTTCTTACAGTCACAAAAATAATAAAAGTTATAGCAGAAATTTCAAGCTGGTTCACATTTTGTGTACCTAGCCACTGCACTGTCTCCAACTGAATCAATGTCTACTTCTTCCCTTTCATTTTCAGTCAGTGATCCTGGATCACCCTTCTAATTGAATGTAAGACATTCAGTTCAGCATTGAATGATTTCTCTGGATTGATGTAGTCTAGACGAAGAGTAGACCTATTTGCTACTTTCTGTTCTCCAGATAAATGCCAACTGCTAATCTGAGCTGCAGAGCACTTCTTGGTTTGACTTCTGTCTTGTCTTAAGGCTCATTTCAATGCCATGCTTTCCTTTAGTTTTTGTGAAGAAATTTTATTCTGTCTTGCCAGCAAGGCTTTTCACTTAAGGAAAACATGTGTCCCTTATTTGCCTAGTTAACTCCTTCTCTCACTTGAGGTATTTTGAATTCTGATTCTGTCACTCAGAATTACCAGTCTTTCCCAACTATGCGTATGATGCTAGTATGTGTAGCAGCATCATCCACGTTTGGCAGTTATTCCTGAGGTAGTTTTATGTGTCGTAAGTAAAATTACAGACCAAAGTAGAACATGACGCCAGGTGAATTTTCCTAGTGTTTCTGCTGACCTTGACTGGCTTTGCTCATTTTCCTTGGGGTTGGCTGCTCTGTACCTGGCTTTGCTCCACCTGGCTTCCAGCTTCCGCTGGAGACCGGATATTAGCTCATTTGCCAACTGAGTGAAGGGCAAGAATGAGCCCAAATGCTCCCAAGCCTGGAACATATCTGCTAAAACCCACTGGCCAATCCTGTAATCAGAGGATCAGTCCATTCCACTGCTTGTTGTGAGTGGACAGTATAAAGTTACATGGAGAAGGACATAGAAGCAAAGAGGTGTGAAAGGTTTGGGCTACATTTTTTTCCTGATTTCAGCCTTTGAGAATCTTGATACGCTTCCAGATAACTTTATTTCAAACTATTTTTTTTAAATACAAGGGAATGCCGAAGTAATATTTTCAGGAACTTATAAAAATAAAAACAAACATTCTGACTTGAGGCTTTCTAAGAATCTAAATGAGGTTTAGAGAAAATGATTACATAGTTACAGATCTTTCTAAAATATCTGCCATTAATAGCGTGTCGAATGCTTGCTTTTTATTTCCTCAGCAAGTTCATGATCATTAATGGCATTTAGTTTTTAGATATAACACTAAGTTTGATAAGCCTTAATTTCTATATAAATGTGTATCCAATAACATGACATATCTACTATATTTGCAAATCATGATTACTTAATATCTTTTGAAAAAAATTATCAAAGCACAAAGTAGAAGTACTGATTTGGCAGTTTTGAATGATATATTCCATAATCTCCACATTCTAGATCCTATCTGATTCTAAAAGGGTTTTGCTACCCTGAAAATGTTACATTACCAAGACATTCAGAGTCATCTAAATCTCTCAAAGATCTTTTGCTGTGTCAGGGAGACAGAATGCTGTAGTAGGTTTCTTTTGATTTAGGATTGCCTCTGTCATCACAGAGAAAAATCATAACAACACATAAAAAAATAAACTAGAAGGACTAGGATGATTGAGGTAAATACCAGATCATGAACTCTGATTCAAGCTTGGGAAGCTAAGATAATATCCTATAGTCAGTAGAAGCTTCTTTATTGATAACAAACATTTTAAATGTCAACATTTTTCAGAACGTAAAATAGAAACCAAAATAATAAGAGATCTCATTGCATTGCATTTTTATATTTAGTGACAGTGTCTTTTGTAATTATTATGAAATATATGAATACATAGATTATACCTACACATAGGTTATAAGATATTTTAAGAGCTCATTTAAGTATAATGTTTTTTCAATCTCATGTTAGAATTATTTTTGCCTCTTTTTGTAAGCAGTCAGTTTTTTATTGCTCCGTCTGTTGGCTTAGATCTTACCTATAAAGCAGTGAGAATATTTGTCACCAAAAGGATGTCAACCCACTCTGGGTGTGCCTCTTTTTGTATTTCTATTCTTTGTTTCATTTTTCCGTGGTAGAGAATAGATAGATAGATATAGATGTAGATATAGATGTAGATATAGATGTAAATATATAAATATATATCATTCTTCTTATATTGTTCAAATATTTTATGATAAAACAAAGAGAATATTCTATGCTAACACAGTTTGAGGACTTTAGTTCTCATCCAAATACTCAAATTACCAAGATTTGACAGTGAGAAAATTATTAAACTTCTTAGCCTCAGTGTAATAATGCCTGTGTAAAAATGAGTGTGTTGCACCAACATATATTGGTCTTCTAAGACAATATTTGTCCTCTAAGGATAATGCTGCCGCTGGATGCAAGTAATTTTTTTAGAGACTGGTAACCTCAGGGAAATTCTTATCCCTTTGGAAAAAGTTATACATAAAGAAATATCATTACCTAAGTCCAAAATTTATGTTCCTTGCTGTTTAAGAACAAAAACAAAAAACAAATATATTGAACTAAAGGCCATTCATTTTGGATTCTATAACTCTTGGTCAGTTTCAATGACTGTAAAGGGAATGGACTTGAATTGAGGATTTTAAAGCTCTCTTTAATCTCCAGAGCTCTGTTGGTCTAAGATCAATGTACTAAGATAAATGCATACTCAATATATCTTTAATAACTATTGGCAAAAGGAACAAAATACTAGAAAACAATGGTATATCTGGAACTATTTCTATGGTATCTGTGATCATTTACAGGAATATATACTTAAACTCTAGCCACTTCGGGGGAGCTTCATATTTTATAACAACAAAAGGACTCATATGTGAAATTTCAAGTAAATACCTAGCAACATAGGCACTCACACCATAGACAGATCTTAATTCATGAAAACACCCAGCTGATGCTCAAATTCTCCCTACAAACTTCCTGCCACTCAGCCTGCATTTGCATATCTCCTGTGATGAAGAATGCACTCTCTAATGAAATAGCTCCTTTTAATTCTAGTATAAGCTATATCACAGACTTGCATGCCTGAGAGACTTAAATGTGAATCTTAACCACTGCCGCTTCTTAGCTGTGTAAACACAGGCAATACTTAACCCCTGGAATCTCAAGTGTTTCATTTGTAAAATATGTATCATAATTCCTAGCTTGCAGATATGTGGTAAAACTGAATGTAGATAACATATGTACAGTTTGCATCATAGTGCCTATGATATAATACCTGAGTGAGTCTAGGTCCTCCAAGAAGCCAAGAGGGAATTATAATAGATATACATTAATATTGTTAAAGGGAAATGCTTGTAAGGAAACACATGGAGGGATGAGGGGAAGAGGTGTCAGACTGTGATACAGATATGGTAGAGATGGAAGGATGATTGAGTGCAAGCATCTGAGGCTGAGGTGCAGTTCTAACAGAGGTTTGTAGGCTGCCAGGGAGCCCTCAAGCCAGCAGTGTCTATCACAGGCATCTCACAGGAAAGAGCCTATCTTATTATCACTGCCATGTTCACTAATTGACTGGGAGTAACCTGTGCAAAGCATGGCGTGGTGCAAATGTGATGATGGGTTTTAGAGGGCTAAGGGTTAAGAATTATTAGTCAGTTACCATCCCTGCAGGTGATGTTAGGAAATATATTCTCATGGTTACCAACCTCCACCCCTTTTGCAATACAGACTGACTTCTCCACACAGGTTCAGGAAGTGTTTGTTGCATGATTTTGTGGATTCTTCCTGAGGGGAAACTCAGAAGAGCTAGGTTATAGACTGCACTGCAGCCCCTGTAGCTTCAGTTGATCTCAAGACCTCACCTGGTCTTTGCCTCTCCCTCCTCCACTATACATTCTGCATTCCCTTCACCTATCAACTTGTCAGATCATGGCAGCTTAACTGGTAGTCTGAATTCACTCTTCATTCCTGGGGTAAGCATTTTCAGGACAAACTTGTTATAAAGAAATAACAAGAAGGCATCAAGTGTATCATTTGGGTTCCACACATATTTCTCCCTGTCCCAATGGTGCGCAAGCAGCTTCCTACTGCTTGATATCAATTACCTTTGCCATCATAGTGACTCCCCTCTTCTGCTTGTACCTGGGCACAAATAGTCCATAGTGCCCTGGTGGCAGCCTTAACTGCTAGTGTGATGGAACTCTTTTGGTAAGTGTCACTGGGAACAAAGCACATTATAGAAATTTCTGATTTAATACATATATGAGGTCTGACAATTGAGTTTGAGACATCATCCTAGAAAAAGTGCTACATACCTCACTGCTGAATACCACTAAGGTCACCTTTGAAGTACTCCCCTTAGGAAGCTATGCACCGATGCCAGCACCTAGTCCACCCTTCAAAGCGATTTTGGAACTCTTTTTCTGGAATTGCCATCCGAGCTGTTGTTGTATTACCCCTGATGTCCTAAATGTCATTAAAATGTTTTCCTTGCAATATTTCCTTTATCTTTGGGTAAAGAAAGAAGTCATTGGGGGCCAGATCAGATGAGATTGGAGAGTGTTCTTAATACAGTTATTTGTGTACTGGCAAAAAACTACCTCACAGACAGTGCTGTGTGAGCTCGTCCATTGCTGTGATACAATTGTTGGCGAAAAGTTCAGGTCGTCTAACTTTCACACAGCCTTTTCAACACTTCCAAATAGTAAACTTGGTTAACTGCTTGTCCAGTTGGTGCTAAAGAAAAAAATAAACTAATTGGTATCAGCTTTTTGAAAACTCACGTTATGAAATAAATTAGATTTTAAGTAATTAAGAGTCACTATTTTCACTGCATAATGAAATATTTTATGATATAATTTATATTAAGATATTTAATTTTGGTACATATATGTTATTAAGGAGAATATCCACTGTGGGGAGTCTTATAAGCAAATTAATAAATAAATAACTTATGTTAATATATGAGTGCAGATGGTATTTTTTATTCTTTTACTGCTTATTTATTTAATCATCAGTGAGAATAATATTTTCTCCAAATTTATTAAGTTTTAATTTTTTAATACATTTTTGGTTAGTATCTATTTCTCATTTAGCTGTTGTCTCATTGTATTTTTCAATATGCATGAGCTTTTAACACATTAGATATGTTAACCATATGTTATAGTTTTGTCATAGTTTCTACTGTGGTTTGCCTTGTAGTTTGTTATGTTATTTTTGAGTTAACTAAGGTGGTGGGTGACTCTCAGGTACAGACAATCCCTGACTTAATGATGGTTTGACTTCCAATTTTTTTACTTTACGGTGGTGCAAAAGTAATACACATAATAAATTACATGAGACATTCAACATTTTGTTATAAAATAGGCTTTGTGTTAGATGATTATGTCCAACTGTAGGCTAATGTAAGTGTTCTAAGCAGGTTTAAAGTAGGCTAAGCTAAGCTGTGATGTTGCATAGTTTAGGTGTACTAAATGTTTGGATTAGGATATTTTCAATTTACAATGGGTTATTGGAAGTAACCCCATCGTAAGTTGAGGAGCGTCTATATTTTGTTTATTCAGTATTTACTTAACCATTTCTTTCAGAGTCAGTAGTTTTTAATTCTCTGCTTGAACTTAACTATTGGTGCTTCTCAGGAAGCTTTATTTTATGCCTTTCCAGAGGAGACATAAACTACACCTGACTTCAGGCTGTAACCAAGTGCTGATGACCCTCATGTTTCTATTATGAGCCCAATATCTCCTGTGCTCTAGCCAGATTTCTGCAAATTGCCACATGAGTGTTTCCCACTCATGTCACCATGTACCCTATGGGCTTGCTTAAATTAACAGCAGCAACCACAGTGTGATAGACCTGAACTTGTTTTATCTCAAATACTTTCTCTCCTATCTCCCCTTTGTCATAAATGCCCCTTAAATCGGCTATTTCATCCATTTTTCATCTGTCACTGCTCTTGTTCAGATGCCATTTTCTTTATCGTAGAAACTGGTTTCTTTCCAATCATTCAAAATTATCTTTGTAAATTTCCTATTATAATCAGTATATTTTTTTCCATTTGTCAGATCAAATCTAAAATCTTTCTGAAAAAATTTCAGTTTAATTGTTAAGTAAATATTCATAATAGGATTTTGAGAAATACATTCATTATTAGTTTTTGGTATTACTTAAACATTTGATTTTTAACAATTGAATAAAACCTGTATTATTATATTGGGTTGTTGGAAAAGTCATGACGCATTTTTGCAATGAAAAACATAGCAAAAATTACTTTTTTCCGACAAGACTTTTCCAACAATCCAATATTTAGGAGCATAAACAAATCTTTTCTGGAGTTAGACATTTTGATGACAGCAACAACATTACAAATGTTTTTGATCAAACAGTCTCACAGTTTGACTGATATTCATACATGTGGATACATTTAAAATCAATGATGTTTGTAATTCCTGTGCTACTAAACAATTATTCCAAATTCCCGACAAAAATCAGTAGATGAGACCTAAACATTATTAAATGATACATGAGATAATTATGCTAATTTAGCCTTTGACTTATCCATCATTTACCATCCAAAAGTCTCTTTTGAAGTAAAATTGCTGTTTCATTACTTTAAAAAATATGGTCTGCACATAACTTTTCATTAAAAAGACATTAACTTTTCTGATAAATCACTAGAAGACTTAATCTCTGTGATTCCAGAATGCAGGGAAAAATAAAACATGAACTGTTTATTCTTATGTCAATTTATTTTTTAAAAATCACCCTTCATCAAGATCTTAGGTAAAAATGATTACCATTTGTTTTCTTTATACTATGTGAAGAAAGCATATTTTTTATATTGTGATAGTATATTTATTTATCTACTTTTATTTTGCAGCAAATGGAAGTAGTTGAAGATTTTAAAGATAGTGATTGCTGGTTGTTATTGCAAGAGTAAGAATAAAAAAGGATAAACGTTGCCTGGTGGGAGATTTCTCAAGTTATTCTATGGTAAATTGTGATGTTGGGACTGGTTCTGTTTTACACAGGTGATTAAAGCTGTAGAGGAAGGGTACCGTCTGCCAAGCCCCATGGACTGTCCTGCTGCTCTCTACCAATTAATGCTGGATTGCTGGCAGAAAGACCGAAATAGTAGGCCCAAGTTTGATGAAATTGTCAACATGTTGGACAAGCTGATACGTAACCCAAGTAGCTTGAAGACGCTGGTTAATGCATCGAGCAGGTACAAGTCTAGACCTAAGAGATTTTCCTGAATTCAGCTAACTCAGATGGAGTTATATGAATTTAATTAATATTAAATTAATTAAATCATTTTTATACACATGTTAACCTATGAAGCCATATGACAATAATTTATTTGACTATAGTATTTGCATAATCTTACTCCCTTACAATGAATGAAATATTCATGATTAAATTATACTTTGAAGCACCTATACCTAATCTATTAGTGTAACATGCCAGTTTCAGAAAAATGTTAACTATAGCCAAGTTCAGATAGCATTAAAAAATAATAATAAAAAAAAATAAAACCACTCAAATGCATGGATTTTCATGTTTTGGTTCCCACATAGTTTTGAATGGGGAAAAATATGATTATAAGACCATAGGGAAAAGCCAATTGAACACTGATATATTTTAAACTATAGCTATATAACAATATGACTTTTGATTTCTTTAGCATAGATTTCAGTGTCTGTCATATTTTATGAACATTGACAACCCCTTTAGGAATTTACTCTTATAAGCAGTTTCACACCGATATTTGTCTAATCATTTACTGTGTAGTTAGAACAGACTTAAAATTGATAAATGAGTAATTTTGTGGAAAAGTTTGTGTGAGGAAATAAGCATTTTTTTATGATAGCATTTAAATAATGTTGCATATTTATAAAGTGTACTTTTCCCTTTAACCTAAAAAATTACAGAATTATCCTTTCAAAAAATAAATCAATTTGGCTCTCTACTAGGAAATTTACCAGATTGTTATTTTCATTATATTTGAAGCAATTGTTTATTTTTTGCAAGTATCATGCCACTAACTTAACTGGCTGTCCAATAGCATGAACTAAATGAGAAACAATTTGTTGATAAAGTTACATAAGTTCTGTGAATCTGACATAACATTTGTTTACTTGGCAAAAAGCCATTTTTAAATACAAATAAGGAAATAAATCTTCAAACTCTGTTCAGGCATCATTAACTTTCTGTGGTAGCAACTGGTGGATGCATCTTCTTAGCGATTAGTCCTTATGTTCCTGAAATATCTGCTTTTAAATTGTTTATTGTCTTGTAAAATAGTAAGCATATCTCTCATCTACTTGTTTGAATTGTGTTAAATTTCCACACATGGACAGGAAGAAAGGAAATCACAAAAATACATTTTTGTGTTCTAAATTGTGTTCATTTATATCAGCATGATTATTATAGCTTGAGAACAGTTTAAAAATCTCCAAAGAATTCTCATATTGTCTTGTGTGCAATATGTAGAATCAGCTTGCAAGGTTTCATTTAAACAGATGTGGCTTAAGATTATACCACTCACTACCCATATTTGTTCAGTCATCTACTAATCCTAATTCTAGAAGGTGTTAGTTCCTGACTCATTGTCTCTTTCTCTCTATTCCTACCCATACTGCAACACTTGGTGATTTCAGTAATCATGTAGATGATGTCCAAATATCTCTCAATACCTTGAAATTATCTCCTTTAGTCATTTTATTCTCTAACCTACGTTGGACTCTTCTTCTTATAGTCATATTCTAGACTTTACTGTTACCAAAAATTGCAACTCTTCCATCATCTAAACTTCAAGATCCTACTCTCCAACTGTTTCCACCTATATTTCCTTTTCAACAAATCTTTGACCCCACTGCTTAATGGCTGCAAATTACTACAACATATCCATTTATTCATCCAACAAATATTTATATATCTACTCTGTGTCATGTTGTGAGCTAGGTGCTGAGTATACAGCATTGAGCAACACAGTGTATGGGGAGAGAGATATTGAACAAAATAAAAACATTATAAAACAACTTTGGCTTTGGAGTGGAGAGTGAGGGTAGAATTTAGGAAGATAAGTAGGAAGCTAGAGTAGTTGTGCAGGTAAGACATGATGTCTTGAATTAAGATGGTAGCAAATGAGACAGAGAAGTTGTAAGGTATGCAATATATTAGAGATAGGATGGATAGCAAGAGTATGCACAATTGTAGATTGTGAGGAGATCGAGGCTAAGGAAGGAGTGAACTCTTCCTTATTGTACAGTATAATGGGAGCACTTCAGGAGGAACTGGATATGAGGACGATGAGGAGTGTGATTTTGGAAATGTTGGGGAGATATTCCTGTGACAAATATGGAGGCATGAAGTAGGCATATGAGTGCATAAGAGACCCAGACTGGAGATTTGAAAAAACAAAAATAGGAAAAATAGATGCTATGTGGAGCATGACAGTGGGTAAAATAGTCTAAAATAAAGTGGAGCTACAGCCTTAGTAGAGAAGATATAGAGTCAAGCCCTGGTTCCCTCCAGATTTTAAGTCACAAAAAGGAGGAATAACAGGCAAAAAAGGTTAAGGAAAAGCAGGAACATCCAATGTCATGGAAGCCAAGAGAGAATAGTGATTAAAAAAAATATGATATAAGGTAGCATTTCAAGAGGGAGCTGGTAGTGGTGGTGGTGGTTGTTGACTGTTTCTGAGAGGTTAATCACCTTACAGATTAGAAAATGTTGATAGATTTTGACAAATAGAGGTCATTGTTCACTTCAACCGGAACAATTTATATAGAATTGGTTTGGAAGAAACTACACTGGAATAAGTTGAAGTGTAAAGTGTAAATGGGATGTGAAAACGTACAGAGAACACGAGTAAAAAGATAGGTATTTGTCCTATATGTTACGGTTGACATTTACTTAAGTAAACCCCCATTGAAGGACATTTAAATTGTTTTGTATTAAGAGAATGTATTTATTAAGCCATTATAAATCCTCATTAACTATGGATAGAAAAAATTTGAATGGATTGATTTTGTGTTCCATATTTCAAAACATTTTCTTCCATGTTAGCATCTGTATATTTTCCCCTATAAATATACTCATAAACCAAAAGATCCATTGACTATGAGCTAACATTACAATGTAATTTGTTATAAAAGAGATAAAACATTACTCTTAATTTTTTATGTTTTATGTGTTTTAGAGTATCTAATTTATTGGCAGAACATGGCTCACTGGGATCTGGGGCCTACAGATCAGTAGGTGAATGGCTAGAAGCAATCAAAATGGGCCGGTATACGGAGATTTTCATGGAAAATGGATATAGTTCAATGGACGCTGTCGCTCAGGTGACCTTGGAGTGAGTAATTTTTCTGATAATTTTTACATAATTGCTGGGACAAGAAAACTTGTTCAGAAACCAATCTGGATGAGGTCAAGGGAAATTAGTTAACCTTTGTCCATGTGTGGCAGCTTTCAAAGAAGCCTCTTCTTTTTTAGCCTTTATTGTTAACAACTGCATGGTTAATGGTACTTGTGGCCAGTATCTTTGCTTCTTTGCTTTGAATAGTACTTAAATATTTGAATAATTGGAATAACAACTCTTTGGAAAAATACTGGTATTTTATGTTGTGGAAAAGATGTTTTCTTGACAAAGTTTTTATACTGGTACCTATGTTATATGAATGTAAATATAAAAAAAAACTGTAAGCACAATTGGTGTGACTAGTCTTACATACAACAAAACATATTCTTAAATTTGGCTAAAACGACTACCCAGGAAACAGCTGCTTAAACAAAGCTCCGCAGGCAGGACTCTCATTTGATCTCTAAGCAGTGCACCTTATATTCTTGCAACCCAAGGATATATATTAGATCCTGCCTCTGATTTGTTATTTGGTACAATCTCAGTGGAACCAATTGTGCCCTTTTCTGTTTGCACGTTTAAGATAAAAGTTTATCAAATCTTACTAAATAAAAATCACTAGAGTTAAATATTAAATTCTTTAAGGTTGTAAGTTGTTTGTATTTTATTTTGTACTCTGTATGTGTAATTATTTTAGCCTACTATTTGCTTATTTGTGAAAATTAACTGTCGTTATGGTGGTTCCATCTAGATTACGTTACCATGAATGATGTTTTAACCTGTGAATATAATGATAACTTACTTCAAATTAACTACAAATTCAAAGGTTAAAATATTTGTAAGGATTAGAACAAGGTAGACCATTCTAAAGCAGTAAGCCACAGTCCTTATTCCATTACTTCACATAATATGAGCATTGAGTAGTTCTCTACCATCATTTGTATTATTCTGGCATTTTTGATTCATTGAATTCACTGCCCATCCACACAAAAGGTAACAGGGTACCATCATTTATTACCAGTTAATGTCACATTCTCAACAATCCTCTTCCTTCATACCTATAATTAAAAGGACCTAAAATCATTACTCAGCTCACTCTCATAATTTACTGAATTTCATCCTCATTAACACCGCCACATCATATCTATTTGATGATACATTTGCTTGACCCATTATTTCCTTGGACACTCAAAGAACTCATGTGTGCTAGATTAAAATAGTAAACAGACAATTTTACTGATAATTTAAAACTATTTTTACATTATTGCTATTTAATTTCTCAGTAAAAATGGTCATTTTAATTTATTAAAGTCATTTGTCATTTTATATTAAAATGATACTGTAGGTATTTCTTCTACCCAATGTCAGATTACTTGTAAATATATAATAAAATTATTTGCATTAAACAATGTCTCTTTTTTTATTAAAATAGCATATATACATATATTTAAATCTACTACTCTTTTGCTTCTCCCTTCACAGAATGATTGTAAACACAAATAGTGGTTCTTGCATTAACTACCTGTTTTATTTCATCTTATTGGGACCCCAATATACTATAAATGTGTTTAATATTTTAGCATTATGGTTTCACATTTTCTTATTTCTTTTTATTCTTTTCTCTTTACTTTCCTATCTGCCCCTCTATCCCTAAACTCTCTCATTTTGTATGGATCTTTCAAAACCAAATAGCTTCTTCTGTCTGCTTGTAATGGCTTTCTACCTCATTTCTATTCTCCAGTAATTTTTGTCTGGTTGTTTTTTCTCTACTTGATTCAATTTTTTCTATCTATATTACTTTGGTAGTTTCTTGCTATAGCGCTTCCTTTCAGATATTTTTGTCCTTTAATTCATTTACTCTAACCAGAAGAACAAGATGAAATTAGGAGGCGTATCAATGCATTCCCATTCAGAGAATATTGGTCTCCATAAGTCAATTGCTTGAGATTCCTGGGACCCATATAAACATATTCCTTACAAAGAACTGGGCCAGCAAACATTAACGTCAGTGAAGCTGATTTCTTGGAAAGTCCAGCACCTAAAAATATGTGTCCTCTTTTCTATTGTGTTTTTTACCACATGCTTCCTATTTCATAGGAATATATTTATCAAATCTTATGTTAAATAACTCACAAAACAATGAATAATGAGTTACTTGTTTGGTAAGAAATATAAAGTATAAGAAAAATATTATCTGTACATTTTGCTTGTCCCTCACCTCCCCCCAACAATATCAGTCATTATTAAGGACTTACGGCAAAGGAGGGAGGATATCAGCTAAGACAAAAACAATTTCTTAAAACATTTTGATAATTATTTTTTATGCTACTCTTTATCTATATCTAAATATTAATTTTATGGAGTCTGTATAATATTATAATAAAATTTAAAAAAATCTCACCAATGTTACTGTCATGGCATAATGGAAACTGACAACTGGAAGAATACATTCATACCTGTAATAGATGCTTAGAGAAAAGTTAAAATCATTAATATAAAACAAAAGATCAAACTGCCATATACTTAAATTACAAAAATGTTATAATTTTTGCCATCAAGTTTGTTCTCATAGTGGGTTTAGAAAAAGAAGTTTAAAGAATTACAATTTTTCAGAACCACAGGTGAAAAATTCTTTCATAAAGGCTTAATTTTGTTTATGAATTTTTTTTTTGCCAGCACATGCATATATGGCTTAATGTAGGAAGGAAATGGAAAACTTGGAGATCTTAGAGTCAAAACATGTTCAACAAAAGAGGCTTTCACACCTAAACATTCCTGTCTGCTGTTTTGTGTGCCTAAACCTTGCTATTCTATAAGCAGTGCTCATATTTTATTGTTGTGGCAGTAATGGCGCAATCTGTATGATGGCATGTAAATGCAGTGGGTTATTGTTGACCAGGGGAAATGGTTGCTTGAGGTGAGTTGCAAATCGAATCCAAGGATTTGAATTTAGGACCACATCACAGCTACTTTTTAAACTTCTTGTCAGATCTTTATTGTCAACCTTTGATTATTCAGAAAATGAGCACAATCCGATGAATTTAAATATTATACCAAATGTGTGTAAGCTACAGAGGTTCCTGTTAGTATCATTTATTAAAATGGGATCATATGCTACTAAAATGAGTTTTCCAAATCCAGAGCCAATAATTGTGCACACTAATTCAAGTATATTACTTAACTTATCAACACAATCATATGCATAATTTATCATACGGTTAAAGCACACAAAGGAGTAATTACTAGACTACTTGTTCTACATAATTAAGCTAAAACTTCTAGTCTAACCCTCACAATGTTTCTTCCATTAAAAATTATGACCAAGCCATGGTTAATCCTTTCTTGCCAAATGTAAATATATTTATCTTGTACAGTAGATACATAAATGATTATCAAGATTCTTCTAAGTGAACCAAAAAATTCCAAATTGTATTACCAAACTATGATAAAAAGCATAAATACTGAAGTTTAGTGAATATTCATTAATCTCTCTTCTCCTTTCTCCTATCCAGCCAAGTATGGCTAAGTACCGTGAAAATAACTGAAAAATGTGTAAAGAAGAAGAGAGAAGAATAAGTAAGGGAATGACTCATCCACAAATGGATGAACTAAATTCTGAATAATCAAGAGTTACAAACAAATAAACAAACAAAAAGTTTACTCCAGGATCAACTAGACACCTCTAATTATTCTTTGTTCTGCCACATTAGTTTTATCATAATATTAGTGTTTTCCATTGTTTAATATTATGGAATGACATTTGAAAAAATGCTGGAAGGTAATCACGGCAATGGAAATTTATTATATTTGCAGCTTTTCTAAAACTAATCTGCTTTGTTGATAAAACCCAAACTTTTTTATGTAACAGTACTATTTTCATCATGTTTAAAATTATAAGCCTATGCTGAAATATAGTTTTCATCATTAGAATTTGCTTTGGGTACTACTTAAGATAACATGTGGTCATGATAAAATAAATATAATATTTATACAGGTGACACACTTAAAACTTTGCCTCACTATAAAATTTCCTATGTAAAAAAATAAAATGAGGAAAATAGCTTAGATTGCATTATTTCCATTTTTTTCCAAAAATTATTATAAATAGAGCAGTAACTGCATCATTAAATGTAGAATGCTTTAATTTTTATCAAATTTCTCTCATTGCTGCTAATTGATCATTTAATATGTACTTAAAGGAGTAAAATGGTAACTGATAGAAATCACAAAAGTATGAGACAAAACTACTTAAAAAAATACTTTAATGCATTTACCAATATTGAATAAAGTTATTTAACCTTTACTAGAAACATTTTCCTAATACTATTTTAATTCTCATTTGTAATATTATCACAAATATTACAAAGCACTGAACCAGTGTCTTTCTGTGGTCAAGTTATTTTCAGAGAATGAATTTATATTTACATAAAACAATAAGTTAAGAGAGTGGAAAGAAAAATAAGTTGAACCAGGGATATGATATCAGTTAGACAAAACAGCCAAGAGTTGGAATATGGAACACACACACACACACACACACACACACACACACACACACTTCAAATGAAAGTTTTGGTACTGTATATGCAAAGTCCATGCTGTTTTAGTGGAAAAACATAATTTTTTTTCAGGTCTTTCAGAATAAACTATAATAGTTATTTCAAAAATCTCATTTCTAATAATTGGATTAACCATATGAATTGTGTAATTTAGTACACATATATTATATCAGTACTTTCAAACCTGAATTTGTCAGAATCACCCATGATAAAACATGTTTTTAAACTCATTTCAGTTATTATTTTTTAAATTTTATAGTAGAAATTGATTGTTTTAGCTTAAGAAATGTTAGTCCCTTTTGTCCTGACTTAGGTCTATAGCATGCTAATGAGCACCCATGAATACCCACATCTACACAAGTCTTCATAATTCAAAAGTTAATTTGGAAATATGAGATTATTTAGTCCAAAACTGAAATACCCATGAAGTAAAGCTTGGGTTCATAGCCTCAGTCAAAGAAGTAGGTGTTCAGTTTCCTTCAGTATCTTCTTTCTTTTAGAATTTTGGCTGTTTGAATGTTATATCTACAGAGATCTCATTTTAATGAATAAATAAACCATAGATGACTGAATAATTGCATGCAATTTGAAGTACTTTCCTCAAAATCGTATCTTAGTAGTAATAAATTAAGAGTATGGACTTTGGCGTCAGGTTCCTGGTTTTAGTCCTAGCTCTGCTACCCACTGACTGTGTTAGCTAGTCAACTAATTTAAATTCTCTAAGACTTTGTTTCTTCATTTATAAAAGGAGATTAACAAAAATCTGTATGATAAGGTTATAGATTTTTCTAACATATAGGAAGAAGACATCTTAATTGTTCCCTGTTATTTTTATGTTCAGTGCAATGGTTCTCAATCAGGGGAGATCTTGCTACTCAGGGGACGTTTGGCAATGTCTGGAGACATTTTGTCTTGTTACAACAAAGGGCCAGAGATGGTGCAACAGGTCTGGTATTTAGTGGGTAGAAGCCAGGGATGGTGCTAGATATTCTACAATGCACAAGATAACCCCTTCAACAAAGAATTACTCAGCCTGTATTATTAACAGAGGGAAGGTTGAGAAATTCAGATTTAGTTGAAAATAGATGAAATTAAACTCAAGCCTCTTTTATTCTTGTGTTAGTTTGTAACTAGCTATTTTATATTCTATTTCATAACTAACAGTAGTAATTTTGTTTCAAAGTGCATTTTTACTAGTTTTTAAGTTTTAGTCTTCCATGCTCACCATGATTATTATTTTTATATTATACTCTGGTCTCTTGAAGCTATGATAATTTTGAAGTTTAATGTTTAATATTCACAGTCCAAAAAGGAAATATATTTCCATCATAACTATCAATTGTTTCTTGGTTAGCTACTTACCATTTGCTAAATCTCTCTTAAGAAATAAAATAAAAACATAAAGAGAAAAGAAACCTAAGGTATTACTTAAAGAAGCAATTATTTCCAATCCCAATACACATAAAGCCTAAGAACCCATTCATTTAAATTCAATCCTCTGGTAATTAAGAGATGTCTTATAGCTTCCAAAACTATTTAATTCTACATATAATGATTCTAATGTCATTGTGTGCAGTTGTATAAAATTCTAAGACAATCTGAAATTAATACACTTATTGAATGCAGAAATATTCTACTTGCAGCATAATGTGTTCAATAAAGTAATTAAAGAAATCTAATATGGTGGCTTTGTCATTTAAAAATGTTGAATTGTTTATGGTAAATTTTTTCTATAATGAATGTTATCACTTGCTAAACATACCTGAGTCATTACACTTGCCAAATACATACTTTAAGTGTATAGAAACCCTGCATAGCCTGTGAAATAACATTTTAAAACCACAGGC